CGATCACTGTAAAATAACTTTCCTCAGATAAAACACATCCTCATTTAAATCTATTTTTAAAAATAGATGGGACCAAACTTTCTAACAAATTATATTAAGAAAGGAATAGAAAGACACACACTAAAAATGGTATTAAAAAGCCACTTTACTGGCCAACAAACACAGATTTCAACCATTACCAAGGTGAAAGTGGAAGGCATCACAGACAGACATTCCACAGTTAGGTCTTTATTAAAAACATAGACTGTACATAAAGGTGAAAATTGGCATGTTTTAAAAATAGAAATAGAAATGAGATACTCTTCCATAATGTAAAGTGTTAATGAGGTAATTCAAATTTAAAATATTTACTACTTAAAATTCATTAGAGCTATACCCCACTTCCATAACAAAATATTTTGGAATATATAAATAAATCTAATAAAAATGTAATCACACGAAGTTAACAGCTTACAGCATTTACTCTTTGCTCCCAATCATGCTTGTCATCAGATAATATTTCCCTAATCTTGTTTATGGATTCCTCAAGGTCTCGGCTGGAATAAATCTGTAAGCATAATTAATTTACGATCAACATAAGAAAATTTAAAGAATAAACAAAAAAAGATTACTTCTTAATTACATGAAGTCAAGAGCATTTAGTTAGTAAAAGAAATTTCATTTTCAAGAAGAACTTATGAGATAACACCTAGACAGATGTGTCTTAGAACGAGCTTCTTCCCCATTGTGAATATACACGCACACTAGATCTGATTTCCTATATGAATAAATTTGCCTCAAATACAGCTTTACTATAAACTTAACAGATTGTTTCACATTCGAAAGAGAAAGATCCCTACTGGGGAACCGTCAGTGATGCACAAGTCATTTACTACTCTTAGGATTATGTACAACACCTGTTTAACTTTAATCATTTTCAAATCTGCTTTCTCATTTATCCCCACATCTTATAAGACAGGTATGGGAATAATCAACCAAGAATGAGGCATGCTGGGAAGGTCAAGAACTTAAGGATAAACCTGAGGCAGCTGATGTTTGTTATCCAATTTATATACATATGGCAACCAAGTAGCAAGTAACAAGTGATTAATTAGACAATAAGTGCTATAGAAATCTGGAGCACCAACAATGTGGGCTGAGGAAAAGCAGCACTGTTCCCCCAGTTAATGACAACGCTGAGGCGCAAAGTAGTTAAAATGTGACTGTATCAATAATCTTTGCTTCATCTGTTAGAGCCTAAAGTGAAACGTCAAGATAGTGTAAACTAAGCTTTTATTAAACCATTCTTTATAGTTTTTCAGATACCAAAACCTTCAAATTTACAAGCTTTTCTTTCTGAGAAAATCCCTAAATAAGCATGCTTCTTTGTGCCTTTGTCTAATCAAATCACTTTTTTTTTCTTCTTTTATGTACCTTGACCCACAAACGTATTACTAGAGCAAGCAACTTCTCTCTAGTTCTTACTGAAAGATCATCTTCAGCCTTGACTTTTGCTTCATTTCAAGCTATAAAAGGCTCCAACATTTTCTAGTCTGCAAACTCAGATCTCCTACAGTTTTGATAGTTAAAATTACCTTACTTAGGAATGAACTTCACGTATCACATACCTGAAAAATGAAATTTGAAGAGTAAGCCTACCCTTGTTTTTAATCAAACTCAAATATCCTTACTCACCTGCACGACGGGTACATCATCAAAGGCTTTAATAAAATCCTCTTCATCAACAGCACCAGCTCCTTCTTTTGCAGCTATAAAAAAAATTAAATTTTAAAATTTAAACAATGTGCACTTGGAAGAATCTCAATACATACTGTAAGAATTAGATTTTGGTAGATTTGTAACTATTCTTTTTAAACCTGAACAAAAATTTAGTGCTGTGGAACTGACAAACATTACCGATTTTTAATATCAAAATGAAGTACAGTAATCCTATATTATATACACTAGCTTAAAGCCATTTAAAGAGACTGTTTAAGGACGGACCGTCTAGGCTTTAAAGGATTTAGATGATTTATAGTCTATTAATGTATAAATCTTCTGAAAGATTACTAATAAACAGATATAACAAAAAATTTAATTCTTCAGGGAATAAATTAGATTACATTATTGTTAGGAATTTAGCATAATAAATTTGTTAAATATTCTAATAAGAATTTAACAGCTTCAAACAGAGACTCATGGACATGGACAACAGACTAGTGGCTACTGGGGGGAGGGGGAAGGGGAAGGTAGGGTAAAAGGGGGTCAAATATGTAGTAACAGAAAGAAATCTATCTATGGGAAGTGAACACACAGTGTAAATATATATATGCCTTACTGTTAAAGTATACAGCTGAAACTTATCAGATTTTGTTAACCAATGTCACCATAAAAAATAAATTTTAAAAAAAGAATTTAAGTTTCATTTCAACTTTATATTAGTCTCAAAATATTTCCATTTCCTTTGAACTCATGATAAGTGTGTCATTTTTTCATTTATGCATCACTAGCAAGTTTCTCCCATAAAGCTGTTTTAAGATGCTTTGTATACTTAAGTTAATTGCTATCATTTGAGAGAAAGTTTTTTCTTTTTGCTAATATGAACTTCACACATGAAATCTTGTGACATTTTATCAGATTTTTTTCATAATAAAATCTTCAAAATTGGTGTCTATGGTCATCCTTGTAACTCTTATTTAATGAGTCTGAGTGCTCTTCTAGAGGTTCTTACTAGACAAGCTCTCGTGTCCTAATGGACTACCTAGTCAGAAAAGGGCTCTATGGACAACTCTTGGTAGCAGTAAAATATCACTTACACTGCATTTACAAGCTAACTATAAACAGTCGATAGTAACATGCTGTAGTATTTTAGCATCAGGACCGGATCCCATTGGGCAGATAGGTTCTGAGAGCCTTTTCTGTGTAAGGCACCATATCGTGTATTCACATACTGACCTCCAAGACCAACCACAGTCCCTAAGGAATTTGAGCCTAAGGAATCTGGCAAGGAAGAAGCCAACAAGATCAGGGTCGATATCTCTGCATAATTTACACAGTTTGGATTTTGGGGGTATAGGTGAAGAATGGGAAGGAAAAGAAGTGGTCTGGTCATGAAGAAATTTTCTAAGCCTTGTTTGTGGAACTGATGCCACCCAAGAATAGACCAAGAAAAAGAATCAGAAAGACTGTTCAGCCAAAAGAGAAATGAAATACTGATTCATCTACAACATAGATGAACCTGGAAAACATTATGCTAAGTGAAGAAGCCAGACAAAAGATCACACGTTGTATGATCCCATTTCTATGAACTATCTAGAATAGGTAAATGCACAGAGACAAATGCAGATTGGTGATGGCCAGAGGCTGGGAAAAGGAAGAAATGGGGAGCAATTGTATAAAGGGTATGGGGTTCTCTTTTGGAGTGAGGAAACTGTTTTGGAACTAGATAGAGGTGGTAGTTGCACACCACTGTGAATATAACTAAATGCCACTGATTGTTATCTTTAAAATGGTTAATTTTATGCTATGTGAATTTAAGCTCAGTAACAAAAAAAAAAAATTCTTTAAAATGCACTCCCAAGAAAAGATTAGAAATAACTAAGAATAAAAAGCACAAATGTAAGAAACAAGCACAGCTTTTCCCTCTGCTATTCCTGATGTGAATGTCATTCTGCCATAAGTACAGCAACTTTAACATAGACGTAGACACTGGTGGCAGAGGCACTGCAGTGACAGCAAGCTGATCCAGTCAAGACACCAACATTCTAGGGCCAGTTCAGCAAGCACGAAAGAACACCAGAAGGAGACAGGATTCTAATACTAATCCTTACTCCAACTTTAAATTATCTCATCCAGCTAAACTCTAAAACCCAATGCTAACAGTGAGCACAGTTCTAAAAGTAGTGGTTACACGATATTTTAGAAGTAAAAAAGTAAGAAATTTGCCCAAAAATTTGACAGCAAAATTAAAGTTGTATATAACAAGGACTCAAACTTTCTAAATTTGGGCATGCAAGAGGAGAGATTTAGGGAGGAAATATTTGCAAATCAGTTTTCAAAGCCTCAGGGAGCTAATCCCTATCATTTACTTAATTCAACATCCATAATGGTCTCAAAAGGAATAATACCACTTGTAGGAACAAAATACATTTTAAAAACAAAAGTACAATCTGCCTTCTGGATAGTCTCACTCTGGATCAACAAAAAGTGGCTAAAAAGGCCCCATGGTAGTTTTGGGCATTGCTGGATCCCAGTAATCAAATAATGCCATCAGGGCGTACTCTTGTTCTTCCTCTATGTCTCAGCTATGCTTTCCTCTAGGTGGGCTTCATTCTTCTACAGGCTCTGCTTACCAAAATGTGGCAACACAGCTATTCAAATTTATATCCTATCAGCTTATCACCATGGACAGTACAGTAGTAATTTAATTAAAGAATAGCCAGCAGAAACATATTATAAATGAGATTATTTCCCTTAGACAGGACACAGAAGGCAAGTCGCATGCACATCTGGTTTTAAAAGCTTGCATAGCTGACCTCACAACACCATACAGGGCTTGGTCTTACCTGAAGACTTGGATCCAAGAGTGGATGATACAAGCCTGCGAGTGGTCCCCATTCCAACATTTCTCCGCGAGCTTGCTGGAGCTTTGGATGATGTAGAACTGGCAGAGGAAGGTCTGTTACCATCCACAGAATCTTCATCATCAAAATTTTTATCTGAAGAGTAAGCACAAAAATCACTGCTTAAAAAAAAAAAGAAGAAAAGACTTTTTCACCTTGACTTAACACAACTAGCCTTAGAAATGGTTTGCCTACTCTTTTGGAATCTGAGGTGCCAATGCAGGGTCTTTCAAGGCTTTAGTAAAGTCCAGAATGCTGCTACAAATACCCAGTTCACTTTCACATCTCTAGAATGCTCTCTCATCTCAATTTTTGAAAAAGAAAAAATATATAAAGAAGAAAGCAACCTCCCATACAACTACCACCTAACAACAGTTACTTTAAAATTTTGGCATATTTCTGACCATTCTTTCATGCATGTTTTAATGATAGCTGACACAAAACTATATATTATATATCATTTTTGGAATGCCACTTATTTCAAATAAGTCCATTTTACAACATAATAAAATATTCTTCATAAACACCTTTTAACGGTTGTATGGTACTTTGTAACTGGAAAATGCCACAACTGAAACAGTTTCATTGTTAGACATTTAAGATGGTTCTAATACCCCGTCAGAAATACTACTGCAACAAATACTTACCTATTTGCATGTTTTGTTTGACTTTCTAACAATTTTAAGAAAAAAAAATCCCTAGAAGCAATATTACTGAGTCAAAAAAATATAAGTTTTTGGTGTATACTGCCAAATTGTAACCACAAAACCATCTTAAAATGGTCTTATCCTGTTTAAAGAGATACTGATTTGCTTTTCAGGGACAATCAACTTAAACCTCAAGTCATGCAGCCAAAATGTGTGCAAAGGAATGAACTTTGACCTTTTGCTGTACCCAAAACCAAAGTCTTGCCCCACTCCACATACACATGAAACCAAAAGACCAGGACATAACTGGAACTTGAACATCAAAACCCTTTCGGAAGCCAAGGGACCATTGTCCAGAAAACACCAGGGCTGTTGATGCCCCTTAACCATAAATAGCCAAGGTCCTCCAAATAAAACTTGACCCACCAGCACTTCCAAATATGTGTTCTCCCAACCCCTTAAAAACTCTTAACCTAGTCCAGTGAGCAAGATGGGCGTGAAACACCACTAGGTCTCCCATCTCCCCAGTTGGCGCCTTCTCAATCAATAAACCTTTTCTTACTCCAAACTCTGACATTTGAGTTTTGGCCTTTTAAAGAGTCAGGCCCATGAGCTTTGGTTTGGTAACAATAAAAATATTTTTTTTCCTGGAAATTCGAAAAGGTGCCTATCTTCCCACACCCCTGCCAAGACTGATTATCATTTTCAAACTTCAACCAAATTTTGACAGGCGAAAAACATGTTTCTTATTCAATGTTGCATTTCTCTTTTACTGAGGTTGAACATTTTTTATTAAATTCATTAACTTCTAAATTGTCTAAGGAGCAGGGGAGCCAATCAATATTCCTCAGGTTGCATTTAAAATTAAAAAGCAAAAAAACATATTTGAGCTTTTTTAAAACGTTTTTTATAAACATTGTGATGACACAAAATTAAAGCTGTCATATTGCTCTATACAGAGTCCCAAAGGCTTATGTAGCATGCACGAGTCATTCAGGAGGCTAAACAACTTAAGAGTAATTAAAAGCAACAAAGAAAACTAACAACTATCTCTGGCAGTATTCAAGGTTTCTGAAAAAGGGCGTTAGAGCTTTACCAATAAGTAAGAAGTAATAATTGTTGCCCAAAGAACAGATATAAATAACAATCTGTTTTTCTTCATTTACTTGCTTCTTAGCTAAACTATCAACAGCCAAGTCTACGGTCTACTAGGAACATAATGTTCCTTACAACTCATCAACAATCCACTTCAAAGTATATGGCTTCTTTTATTCAACTTTTTATTCAACATTAAGGAGAGAAAACACATCCTTACCAAAGCATATCCTTCCACAAATTACTTTCCTTCAACATACCTTTAAATTTCACAGATTGCCGTATCAAGGCTACACTTACGCTGTTTCACAGGTGGTTCTTTTGATCCACATATCAAGTCCATATTTAGTGGTCTATTAACATAGACTTCCCATGTGGATTCAAAAGCTTATTTATAACTACAGAGCACATCAACAAGACCCTTTCCAAGAGCAAAATCTGGTCAACTGTAAAGGCAAGAACAACCCAAAGGAGAGGTCGCCCACTGAGCACTGTCAACATTAGCAGTGACTAGGACTCATTTCAGCTTATCTGTCCTCAGGGGACCTCCAAGAGCATGTAAACCACCGTCATTATTCAACCATGTTGAAGAACTGTAACCATTATTCCTCTCAGAACAGTAACTGCTCCAGTCAGTAGGAAAGGTAAGTAATGAATGGGGGAAATGTGGACACTATTACACTTCACCCAAAAATTCACGTAAACTGTGTTAGTTTAGTCGTCCTAACATAGGCAGGCATGCCATTTAGAATTGCATTCAGTTACTGGGAATTACTTTCAATGGACCAGTTTCACTGGAATTCCTGGGACTTCTGCTTGTAGTAATGATAGATTACCAAGCACTGGACTTAACTTCTTATAGTAAAATGCCTAAAAACCAGACAGAATACATAAAACAACTACTTTCAGACAGGACGACAGGCAATACAAAACGATGATCACTGAGAGAAGAAAAATAAACAAGTGAACTATGCAATCAATCACCTCTACTTTCTGCCTGAA